TCATAAAATCAGAACATTCCGAAATGCATGTATACTATTATTGAGTCTCGGAATGCCATCATTCTTTTGAACATGTATTTCCAAATAAAACTGGAACAAGAGACTAGTAATAATAAGAGATCTTTTGATACTATTACTAGTAATGATCAAGAACATGATCAAGAGCAAGAGTTGACCAAAATGAGGAAGAAGAACCTAGGCGTAGTAAAGTGCTAGAACCTCAAAATCTTTTGGTCCAGATTTTCTAACATTTTTGTTAGAAAATGAGCCTTTAACTTTAAAGAGGCTTGTTCCAGTCCTGAAGCTCCTTTATGGAAAGAAGCTGTCAACAATGAAGTTGAATCCATCTTGCAAAATCCAACTTGGAATGGTGGATTTGCCACCAGGTTGTAAACCTCTTGGTACGAGTGGAATTTCAAAAGGAAAATAAAGCGGATGGATCAATTGACAAATACAAGGCAAGACTTGTGGTCAAAGGATTTGGACAAAAGAAGGTCTAGACTATTTTGACACATACTCACGCGGTTACTAGAATAATATCTATTAGAATGCTAATTAGTTGCATCTCTATATATTTAGAAATTCATCAAATGGATGTTAAAACCGCTTTCTTAAATGGTGAGTTAAATGAAGAATTACATTAGAACAACCAGAAGGGTTTTCTGTTCCAGGGAAAGAAAAGAAAGTGTGTAAATTGGTTAAATCATTATATGGTTTTAAAACAAGCGCCAAAGCAATGACATGAGCAATTTGACAAGGCAATGATGTAAATGGATTTAAAATTAATTGAGTGTGACAAATGTGTTTATATTAAAAACACAGATAAAGGTCATGTCATTGTATGTCTTTATGTAGATGAATATGCTCATCATTGGTAGTAATAATGACATGATTAAAAATACACAGAAAATGTTGAATAAACATTTTGACATGAAGGCATGGGCATTGCTGATGTATACTTGGTATGAAAAATTACTAAAACATCAGAAGGATATGCTTTGTCACAATCTCATTACATTGAGAAAATACTTGACAAATTCAGCAAAGGATGATGACATCTTGTAAGAACACCTGTAGAATTAATTGTACTTTCTAAGAATGTACAGAAAAATATTTCTCATTAGAGTATGCCCAAATTATTGGAAGCTTAATGTACTTGATGAACTGCACTCGCCCAGATATAGCTTATACAGTAAGTAAATTAAGTAGATATACGAGTATATTCGGGAGTAGAACACTGGAAAGCAATTTATAAGGGTTCTTAGATATCTCCGATTTACCTGTAACATTGGGCTTAATTATACTAGATATCGAGCAGTACTTGAAGAATACTGTGATGCAAATTGGATATCGGATACAAGAAGACTCAAAGTCCCTAGTGGGTATGTCTTTACTCTTGGTGGGGCGGCTGTATCTTGAAAATCTTCCAAACAGACTTGTATTACTAGGTCTACTATGGAATCTGAATTCATAGCTTTAGCAAAGCAAGGGAAGAGGCAGAATGGTTTCGCCACTTCCTTGAAGATATTCCAATATGGCCAAAACGTTCCTGTTATATGCATACATTGTGATAGTCAATCAGCAATTGGTAGAGCACAGAGTCATATGTATAACGGTAAGTCTCGACACATTCAGTCGACATAATACCGTAAGACAACTACTCTCTAATGGAATTATTTCCATAGAATATGTTAAGTCTAAAGACAACATAGCGGATCCACTAACCAAAGGGTTAGCAAAAGAGTTAGTTGAGAATTCATCAAGGGGAATGGGACTTAAGCCTATTAAATAAGAGTTCCCATAACGGCAACCCAACCTAGTTGACTGGAGATCCCAAGATCTAGGTTTAAAGGGACAACCGAGTTGTGAATGACTCAAAAGGATCACTGGGGAGTTTATCTCCTACCCATCTCCTACCCATTTTCTCATCAAGTTTATCTCCTACCCAATGTTGGGAATTTCCATCTGGGACCGAGCATCGAACAGAGTTAGTACCGAGGGTCAACGGTTGCCCAGGTCTTTATCTTGCTTTACGCTTTCTTCCCTTCTTTGCTTGCCTTTGACTCCTAGCACTTTTATATGATGCTTAGCGTTTTCCACTCATATATATGTATATATTTTTTTTTTTTCAGGGAAAGGTTGTTTTAAGCGAAGGAAAACTTCAGAAAATAGAAAGGGCCAATTTCAGGGAAAGGTTGTTTCAAGCGAAGGAAAACTTTAGAAAATAGAAAGGCAATCAAAATCGCTCTTAGCTACGAGAAACGTTCTCCTTCTGAGTTGCTGGGATACAAACCTACATACAAGTCCACTATTCAGCAAAAGTCAATTCCTACAACCTGTCTTTGTGAGGGGCCTGAATCGAACGTGGAGATTGAGGTTGAGCAAGTTGGTACATCCTCTTCCACTGCACAAGCACCGAGCCAATCCGAGAGCAGTAAGGGTTATTCTCCATCTCCTTCACCAACCAGCGAGGGAGAAGACATGTCAAGGAACAGAGTGTTGTTGGATTTACAAGCTACTGTTCTTGGCACTGACCCTTCCCCAATTGAGGTTACTGATCCACCACCAACCAAACGCCTACGACCGATCGAGCAAACGTCGGGGTGGTCTTAGCTACCGCAGCCACGACCGTAACTGCCTTAATTTCAGACCGAGCAAAGGGAAAAAGGAAAGAGAAAGGAAAAGGTAATGTTGGTGTTGGGCTGAAACAAAAGGTAGGGCCTGATTTGTGGGAGCCCGAGCTCGAGCATGAAGGCCGACCGATCGGCGGTGAGTTCGGCTGCCCTAGCTTTCGATCTTTCGAAGGCTTTACTCCTTCCACTTGATATGGTCGAGCACAACACTCAAGTAAACAGGGACTTGGTGAAGAGTGCTTTACAATCTATGGTGGTGGTAAGTTCTTACCTTCATCTTTACTAAGTTGCCACTTCTTTCAAGTGTATTTCCTCACTATGCAAACTTATATCTCCAATGGTTTTCAGGCGAACCAAAAGACCCACCTAGCACTTGGCCGCTATGATGAGATTGAGCAGCAGCTTCTTGAATCAAGAGAGCGGGTTGGTGTGGTGATTAGGGCTTTGGAGCTAGAAAAAGAGAAGAAAAAGGAGATTGAGCATACTGCTTCAAGATTGGAGCAAGGCCTTGCCATTTCTGAAAAGGCTCGGTTACTTGCAGCTAAAGCTGTGAAGAAGGATGAAGCTCAGATAGCCGAGTTAAAGGCTGAGTTGCAGCTTGCAGAGGACCATTATTGGCAGCAAGGTTGGGACGAGGCTGGTGTTACTTATTTAACCGAGGTCCGCAAGGCCAAAGATGGGATTTACGCCCAAGCTTGGAATGATGCTTTGACTACAGCGAAGGTGCCCGATAGTTCTCCTCTTTATAAGGAGATCCCAGCTTCTTCAACAGAAAAAGGTTAACAGACCACTCAGCAGATTGTACCATCGTGTGCTTCTACTACACTTCCTACCGTTGACTGGTCGACTCTTCCACCAGCTTCTACTGTGGTTGAACAATGTGCTTTGGTTGTACCAAAACCTTTTGCTGATCCAACTACTGTTCGAGAGACCATGTTGCCGACCAATTCCACTGCTCATTCAGATGCTCCTTAGAAATAGGTTGTCATTTTTATGTACTTTTCTTTTAGCAACTCCCCTTGAGGAGTTTGGTTGTTTCTTGGAAATGTAAGGCTGGACTTTTTGATTTTTGTAACTCTTGCAAGATTATCGATGAGACGTTTTATGTTTTTGTCAGTCTATTTGCTCTTCATCTTTCTTTTTCATGAGTACTGTATGCCTCCCTACAGAACAGAGGCTCCGAGTTTATATAGACCGTCTGTTCGGACAAACCGTGCTTCTTGCTTTTTCAAAAAGCTTTGCATGCCCCCGGCCGAGCAAATGCTCTGAGGCCGAACGGACCGTCTGTTTGGATGGACCAGGAATCTTGCCTTTAAGAGAGCTTTGTATGCCCTTCGGTCGAGCAGAGGCTCCGAGGCTGAACGGACCGTCTGTTCGGACAGACCAGGCTTCCTGCCTTTAAGAGAGCTTTGTATGCCCTCCAGTCGAGCAGAGGCTCCGAGACCGAGTGAACCGTCTGTTCGGACAGACCAGGCTCCCAAGTGTTTAGAGAGCTTTGTATGCCCTCCAGCCGAGCAAATGCTCCAAGACTGAATAGATCGTCTCTTCAGACAGACCATGCTTCTTGTTTTTAAGAAATCTTTGTATGCCCTTCGGCCAAGCGAAGGCTTCGAGACCGAACGAACCGTCTCTTTGGACGGACTAGGCTTCCTACCTTAGACAAAAAAAAATTTAAAAAAAGTAAAAAATAATAAAATAATAAAATAAAATAAAAATAAAATAAAATAAAATAAATAAATAACTAAAATATGCTGAGTTTGACCAAACACATCGTTGCTTGGTCTTTACTTGATTTGTTCAAGTTTAGCTCATCAGTGAGCATATTTCGACTCTCCATTGAGCGCGAGTTGTTACCATGGACCATGCTTTCAAGTAACGCTACTTAGCACAAATTCCACCAAGCGATACCACTTGGTGCCCTACTCCGACCAGAGGCCGAGATTTCGGGCTAGGGCGTAGGTTAAGACCCGTAACCCAATCTTGCTCAATTGCTGAGCGAAAATATGCACGACACATATGAAAAAGAACACAATTTGTAAAGAAAAGTTGATTTCATTGATACTTATAAAATGGGGATTACATTTGAAAGATATTCAAGCCATAATATCGCTGATAGTATTTTTTCAAATTGGCAACATTCCAAGGACGAGGAATGGGATTGCCATCTAGGTCGGCCAAATAGTAAGCTCCATTGCCCAAAGCAGATGTGACTTTGTACGGCCCTTCCCAGTTGGGTCTGAGCTTCTCTTCTCCAGGGATCTTTTTGTGATCCACGACCTTCCTTAGTACCAGGTCACCAGCTAGAACTTGTCTGACAAGTACATTCTTATTAAAGCTTCTAGTAAGTTGTTGTTGATAGGCTGCCAATCAAATGAGGGCAGCCTCTCTACGTTCCTCTGCTAGGTCTAGAGCTTGAGCGATGGCCTCATCATTGTTTGCTGGTTCGAAGATTTCAGACCGAATTGTGGGAACACCGACCTCCAAGGGGATGATAGCCTCCATTCCATAAGTGAGGGAGTAGGGCGTCTCTCCTGTTGATCGCCTCGGTGTAGTCCTATATGCCCATAAAACATTTGGTAGTTTTTCCACCCATTTGCCTTTGGCTTTCTCCAACCGCTTCTTCATCCCATTGATGACCGTCTTGTTAGACGCTTCAGCTTGACCATTGCCTTGAGGGTAGACTGGAGTAGATTTTATGAACTCAATTTTTAAGTCAGAGCAGAACTTTCTAAAAACCTTCCCATCAAACTGGGTGCCATTGTCGGATAGTAAGGTCCTTGGAATGCCAAACCTAGTAATGACACTCCTCCAAACAAACCTATTCATGTCAGCTTCCTTTATGTTTGTTAAGGCTTCAATCTCCACCCACTTAGTGAAATAGTCAGTGGCAGCAACGAAGAACCTTTTGTTAGCAGTACCCCTTGCTAGAGGTCCAATGATGTCCAGACGTCACTATGCAAATGGCCATGGACTGGTGAGGGGAGTTAGGTACTTGGCTGGTTGATGAATCAGCGTGGCAAACCTTTGGCACTTGTAGCATTTTTGGACATACTGTTGGGCATCTTTCTGCATACGCGGCCACCAGTTCCCATGAGTGAGGGCTCTGTATGCCAAGGACCGACCTCCAATGTGACTGTCACAGATCCCCTCGTGGATTTCATAAAGAAAGTTCTCCACAAGATTGGGGTGAACACAAAGAAGATATGGACCAAGGTAAGACTTTTTGTAGAGCTTGCCCGAAGGTGAGATCTAAAATCGCGCAGCTCGGTGCCTTGTTTTATGCGCCTTTTTCTTGTCATCTGGGAGGGCGCCATTTTTTAAGAAGGCAAGGAGTGGGTCCATCCAGCTCGGACCGAGGTCAGTACAGAGGACCGAGCTGGGTGTATCGACAGTCGGTTGAGGAACAAATTCAACCCATATCTTGCGACCATTTTTGGAGTCCACCGAAGAGCCAAGACAGGCTAAGGCATCGGCGTGGCTATTTCCATCACGGCCAATTTTCACAACCCTGATAGCTTGAAACCTGCGAATCAAGTGCTTGGCTTGTTCTGCATAGGATGTCATCCGGTCATCGCGAGTTTCGTATACTCCAGTCAATTGGTTCACCACAAGTTGGGAGTCGCTATAAACGAGCAACTCCTCTGCATTAAAGTGTTCAGCACTGCATGGACCAGCTAGCAGAGCCTCGTATTCAGCTTCGTTGTTGGAAGCCTTCCATCCCAGTCTGACGGCTTGCTTCCAAACAAACCCCTCTGGTGAAATAAGGACCCCTCCCGCTCCAGAACCCTTTTGGTTAGAGGATCCATCAACGAACAGCTGCCAAACGTCTCAATGAAAAGTTTCCATGCCTCGGCGGGGGTTTAATGAGTGTTGTGGATTCCGGTTGCTAAGGCTGAGCTCCCTTCAGAGGGGCCGGTCGGTCCGGGAGTGAATTCTGCTACGAAGTTTGCTAACACTTGAGCTTTGATAGCAATCCGTGGCTGGAATTTAATGTCAAACTCACCCAATTCTACTGCCCATTTCGCTGTCCGGCCCGAGAAATCAGCTCGGCTAAACACAGACTTTAGAGGGTACTCTGTGAGGACATTGATGGTGTGTCCTTGGAAGTGGTGAGCAAACTTCCTGGAGGCTATCAGCAGGGCATATGCCAGCTTCTCTAGAGGTAGGTATCTGGTTTCGGCATCCAAAAGGGTTTTGCTGACATAGTATACTGGCTTTTGTTCCTTCCCTTCCTCTCTAATCAAGACTGCACTCACAGCGTGATCGGAGACAGCCAAGTAAACAAAGAGCTCTTCATTGGGGACTGGAGTAGACAAAAGAGGAGGAGAAGAAAGATACTTCTTCAACTCTGTGAGTGCTTCGGAGCACTGGTCACTCCATTCGAAGTCTGCCTTCTTTCTTAGGAGTTAGAAGAAGGGTCTCATTCGATCGGACTGATGAAAACGATTTAATGCTACGGCCATACCAGTGAGCTTTTGGAGTTCCCTAGCCTTCCTAGGTGCCTCAATGTCTTTGAGGGCTTTGATCTGGTCGGGATTGACTTCGATGCCTTGTCTAGTCACCATATATCCCAAGAACTTCCCTGAACCTACCCCGAATGCACATTTTAAGGCGTTCAAACGAAGCTTGTGGGTCTTCGGGATTTGGAACACTTCCTCCAAGTCTCTCAGATGATGTTCAGCCAATTTGCTTTTGACCACCATGTCATCTATATAGGCCTCCATAGTCTTGCCTAGTTGGTCCATGAACATTTTAGTGACCATCCGTTGATAGGTCGCACCGGCGTTCTTCAGGCTAAAAGGCATCACTTTGTAGCAGTAGGTGCCCCTTAGGCTAATGAATGCTGTCTTCTCCTGGTCAGGGCCAAACAAAGAGATTTGATGATAACCACTGTAAGCATCCAAGAAGCTCATCCGTTCATGTCCAGCTGTTACGTCCACCAGTTGGTCTATTCGTGGGAGAGGAAAGCTGTCCTTAGGACAAGCTCTGTTGAGGTTGGTGAAGTCGACGCATACCCTCCATTTTTTGTTATTTTTCTTCACCACAACGGTGTTAGACAACCATTTTGGATATTGTACCTCCCGAATGACCCTTGCTGCCAGAAGCTTGTTTACCTTTTGAATGACCGCTTCCGTATGTTCTACGAATGATTGTCTGCTCTTTTGGACCACGGGCTGAGCTGTTGGTTGGACATTGAGTTGGTGACATGCAAAGGTTGGGTCCAACCCAGGGGTCTCATAAGCAGACCAGGCAAACACTTCGATATTCTTGCGAAGGAAAGCTAGCAATTGCTCTTTCTTTTTGGCGAGAAGCGAAGTGCCGACCAGAAAGAACTTGTCTGGATCTCCTCCATCCACCAAGATCGTTTCGAGATCCTCCACCATCTTCTCTGTTGGTATTCTACCAATGTCTTCCAGTACATGCTGATCAGGCAGTTCGGCCATTTGGACTTCCTTGCATGCTTGTTTAGACTTCATAGCGATGATGAAGCAGTGCTTTGCCGCTACTTGGTCACCCCTGATCTCATCCACCCCATTCTTTGTTGGGAAACGAACTACCTAGTGGTAAGTGGATGGCACCGCCTCCATTGTATGAATCCAAGGTCGGCCGAGGATTACATTGTAAGGAGATGACGTATTGATCACCAAGAAGTCGATAGGGACCACTTTGGACTTTGCTGTGACGGACAAGGTGATCCGGCCGAGCGGCCACTCTGTCTGTCCATTGAAGCCGACTAGAGGGGAGATTGTGGGGATTAAGTGTTGCTCATCAAGACCCAGCTTTTTGAAAAGGTCATAATACATAATGTCATTGGCGCTCCCTTGATCAATTAGGACTCGTTTTACATCAAATTTGTTCGCCACACCGACGGTGACAATCAAGGCATCAGTGTGAGGATGTTGGATCCCATTCAAATCTTTCTCGGAGAACACAATGTCGAACTTAGAGGGCTTTACTTCCGTTCTGGACTTCTTGAGCAATGGTCCTACTGACATGACTTGTTGCAAGTGCGTGGCTATCTAAATCTCGCCACGAAGGGCATTCTCCTTTTGGGGGTCGGTCATCCCATGGATGACATTGATCACTAGCCTTGGGGCTTGGTCCTCTGGTGGAGGGGCTAGGGGTTGTCCCTGTTTTTCCCTTGTCTTCTCCACATCAATCCATTACTGGAGGTGGCCGACAGTGACCAAGTCTTCAAGATGCCTCTTAAGGTCTCTGCAGTTCGGCGTCTTATGCCCCTTCTCACGATGATAGGTGCACCGCCACTCCTGATTGCGCCGAGCAGGGTCCCCCATCATCTTAAGAGGCCAAATGAAGTAGGGTTCTCCCTTGATTTTTTCCAAGAGCCTGTAAATCGGCTCCGTGAACACAGTGGTTATGGCTTCATAAGATCTACTCATTTCCTCTTCGGTTTCCATGGTCGGTTGCTTATTTTGGCCATGCCTCCTTCTTTGGTCCTCCCTCCTAGGCTGTTCGGCCCTATGTTTCCAGAAAGCCTTAACTCCCTCATCTGCAACTAACACTTGAACAGAGGCTGTGTCATCTTCCACACGGGCACGCTCCCCTATTCGAGCCCTTAGCTCTTTCAAGTCAGAGGCAGGATGTTTCGTCAATGACTGCCTGAGCTTATGTGAAGAGAGGAGGCCTTGTTTGAAGTATAGGGCTGCTAACGGCTCACTACAAACATCTTCTTCCAAATCGCCATATGCCTCCCAATATCGTCGAGCATATTCGCGCAAAGACTCCTTTTTATCCTTTCGAATATTGAACAAGGTGTCCAACCCCTTCGAGATTCGACTATTAGAAACAAACCGTGCGAGGAAGGCCTCAAAGAACTGAGCCCAATCATAGATTGATTAAGGAGGAAACTTGTCATACCATTGGAGGCCGTGCTCACCAAGGCTAGAGGCAAAAACTTTGCACATGAACGCATCATTCTGATTCCAAAGTGACATCATTTGGCGGTAATGGCTGATGTCAGTTAGGGGGTCTAACTTCCCATCATAGAGGATGAATTTCAGTGGACTGTACTTATGAGGGGCTTCCACCGCTTCAATCTCAGGGCAGAGGGGGGAAGAGACTAGTTGGTCCAGAACACGATGCTCTATCTGATGAACGGACTGATCTACTAGATGCTCTTTATCCCTTTCTAATCACAGCTTTGCTACTTTTTTCGACCGTCGGTCATCTTCTCGGTTGTCGTTCAACCATGTTCTTAAGTCACACGGTCGCTCGTTACGACGGCGCGGAGGCAAAGAGATTGCTAAATAATGACTAATGGACTTTTGTCTCTTGTGAGGGTCTTCTCGGAGATTCTCTGTCCTACTGCTGGCTCCCTCGCTATGTACTGGAATCGGCCGATTACGCTCACCACGAACAGTACCGTAGTTAGACCGTTCCCGTCATGGGGGCGGTGGAAGAGTGTGCCTCCGTTGTTGTGACAGTCCCCCTCCGGACTTCCTTGGCTCACCTTGAGGTGCCATCTGCTTCCTCAATTGAGCACATAGCTCCTTAATCTCCAGACTCATCGAGTCGATGACACGATCACGGTGGTCCTTCTCAACAAATAGCTGTTGAGATGCCTGATAGGCGGCGGCGACATGACGTCGCTCCGTCGTATCGAGGGTCGGGCTATCGTGGTCCATCAGGTTATCATTTTCGGTAGGGAAGGCCAGACCCTTGTCTTTGGTTCTCTCCATTGCTGGAGTCTTCTCTCTAATCCCAGGTTGCGAGGTTCCTTCAATACCCATCGTCGGAGTTCGTCACAAAGCAATCAGAGAACGATTCCCACAGACGGCGCCAAATGTGCGGACCGATTTCCGCAATAGAGTAAAACGAAACTTTGTGGATGAACTCTGGTGCACCGTTGGGTGAAGGCCTGCGCAAGAAACGAACGGTTAGGCTGCCCGACCGGGGATTGGTCAGAAACCCCTCCGATGGTCAAGTCAGTACCAGAATTTGGTATGGTGAAGGTAGAGTATACGAGTAAGTTTAGAGTGTCAAGAGATCGATCCTTCATCAAGGAGAGTCAAGTTACCTTTTATAAGGACTGTTTGACTTGCTCACCAAGTTTCTCTCTTTGTCGTCCGATACTTTAGCCGAAATGTTAGGTTGCTCCTCAATGGGAAGAGCAAAGAATTCATTAAGCAATTCCGTTATTCGTGGCAGATCAAATGCTCCTTCCGTGTATCGGACGTGAACTAATTTGCACGATTGGTTCGTATCGGATGCTCTTACGATTGGTTCAGCGCCCTGATTCGACTTGGTCATCCTTCTTAGCTACGCTCGGCCCAGGTTCGTACTTTGGGCTGCGTGGTTCGGATTACTTGGTCCGTTGGGCTTAAAATCACACTTGGTCTTCATGTTTGGTCCCTTGGTGGTTCTTCTCTAGTTCAAGTAAACGCTTGGCCCACACGGTTTGGACCGTTGAACACTAGCTCGGCCCAAACTCGTGCCTAGGTTTTAACGTTTTGATCCTGTAGCGTTACCAGACCTAAGCATTGCCCTTGGGCTTGCGGTCTTCTCTTTGTTCTGCTTACGCTTTGTAAATGACCCTCTTCAACACCTAAGGTTCCAAGCCAAGCATTCTTGGTTATGACGAACAGCAGCCTTACACGAGTCATGGGTTTCCTAATTTTCTTAAAATATTAGGTGGCGATTCTGAGATCTAATGACGCAGTCCATTTTTGGCAAAGATTTTTTTTTTGCAAGAAAATGAATTTTCTATAAAGTTGCCAAATCTGGACTCTCATCTATATTTCACATTACATTCGTGAGACTAGAAAAAAGAAATCGAGGGTTCGAACTGTTTAACACCTGCGAGTATCCCCTGGGCATGTTACATGTGGCCTCGTCTTCTACCCATCGACCGTGATCCACATGTCTAGTACTCCGCTACTATCACTGCCATCTTCTCTGGCATTTCCGCTACTGTCTTCTATTAGACCCTCTACTCTACCACCCAAATGCACCTCTATGACATGATGAAACAAAAATGGAACAATCCAAAAATTGGTGGTAACATCACAAATAGATCCGTGTCAGTCCACACAAACATAATTGAGAGAAAGAGAGAAGAGAGAGAGAGGGGGGGAGAGAGCAAAGACCTCCATGTGACAGAACAAAGACTTTCTCGTGCAGAGGTTAAAGTTAGGAAGATTACAAGAAGAAAGGGCAATTATGGCGATGGTGGTGGCGAGAGGCGATAGAGGAGGCGATGGCAGGGCCGGCCTTTGAGTTAACTACCAATCTCCAATCATAGGTGACAGATCATAGGTAAGAGAGATGAGAGAAGAGAGAATAGAGAGAGAGCGCGCTTTGGTTTTGAGCATGTAAAATGAAAAGTTTGTCACCCGTATAATGCATATATATATATCTAGATAGTTTGGTCATTTTATCTAAATTGTCTTTATAGACAAACTATTTTAACGCCTAGACTTTTGATTAAATAAAATCTAATTTTATATTTATCGACGAATGTCCTATTTATTATGGTAGAATTGGATATTTTGGTCTGAATTAGGATCTCAATAATATTTTTTGTAATGTAATAATTTTGCAATGGCAATTTAAAGGTAATTTGAACCCCAAAACACAATCAATTTGGTACTTTAAGAGTGATTTGAGGGTTTAAATCACCATTGCAGGATTATTGCATTTGCTATTATTGCAAACTCCTATCTAGACGTAGTTTTATTTATTTAAAAATAAATAAATTCACATAATAAATATTATATGTACATGTAAAATACATTGTATTTAGAAAAACTTATTATTTTATTAGGATAAATTATAAATACACCATCTGAGATTTGTTTAAATACAAATTGTCTCATTTGATTTAAAAAAATTTCAAGTAATCTTTTGTCAGAATTTTTTATTTAATAGAATTAATTTAAAAAATAAAATTCATAATTACTGTCCTATACAATAATAAAATTATCTATATTATTAATTGAAATAAATTTTTGATATCATTAAAAATTATTAATTAACTTAATAATTTATTAATAAAATTAAAATTAAAAATTTCAGAAAGCTGAATATAATTTTCAGAATTATAAATAAAAAAAAAATTCGTGTTTTAGTCTGTAATTTAATTTTTCTTTGTTAAGGTACAGTCAACAATGGAGCATGAACTCATGACATTTCAGGACGTTTTGTCTGCCTGGATGGCCTGTGGTTATGTCATGTTTTTGTCTATATATCAACGGACATTTCTAACAAACAAAATAGACCAGTTAAGAGAGAGAAGTCAAAAAAATGGTGGTGACAAAATTGGATTTGCCAACCCCAAATATATAGTCTCTTTTCGATGGGGAAAATGCTGTAATATGCGACACATGATATGTACCTTATTATAAAATGTATAAATTTATTATAAAATTTTATACTATTAATCATAAAATATATAATCATATTATAAATTGGTGTGAATGAATGTTCAAAATTTTATAGTTGATATTGCAATAGTTTATGGTTTAGTTATAATATTTTTTGTTATATCAATTTATGAAAAAATTATATATTTTGTGATTAATATTACGAAATTTTGTGATAGGGGTGCAAATGGTATTGGAGAACCCTTTGGCTGGATAGGCATTTTTGTAGGTTTTATGGGTTGGAACTTCTTGATTTAATTTCTTAGGATAAATTACATTGAAAAATTACAAATAGTCTCGTAATAGTTTTGACATTATCATACTGATTTCCCTTTTTAATAAGACTAAAGAAGTTAAAATTTATATAAATAGTGTGAAGATACACGAATAATCATAGAAAAATATATATTTTAGTATAAAAAAATAGCAATATCATATGGGAACTACTATTCTCACTCAACTTTACTCCAAATCTACTCTCTTCTTTGTTCTTTATTTTATATAGTTACATTAATACCCTTTCACACAAAATATACTCTTTAAAAAAGATCAAAATTCCAAGGGTATATATCTATGTATAATAAAGATAAAGAATGGAGTGTATTTGGAACAAA